AGACAGTGTATACTTTTGTCATCTCTCTTGTTTGTCTGTCTATCCTTTCCGAAAATACGGCTGTACCTACTTAAACTTATACATACATAACATACTATGTAGTAAAAGGCAAAAGACCAGACGAGTGTAATTAAAATGAAATAACCTTATGATTTCATGTAAAACACATTTTCGTCTGCCGAGTCGAGAGCTCAGCTCATGTGTTTGTAGCTTGAACTCAAACTGACCCGTCCTTTGAGGGATCATAGCATGGTAAACAAAACTAATAATTGCAATAGGAAGTATGAATTAATTTCGAATGAAATGATATTTATTTTAAACGTTTTAGAGATTACATTTACATCAAACAGTGAGTTGGGTATATAATCATTATGTGCTGCTATTCGGACTCTAAAATTTAATTAGCTTGCTGATATGTTATAGCTCTACTCAAAAGTCCATGTTTTGTGTAAAAAAATTAGGATTTAATGTCGCGAGATGTAATGGTTTGACTTCGTGGTGGCCCAGAGGTTAATTTCCATTGTGAGGATAAGACACACCTAATAATGAAGCTAGAGAAATAGTTACTTACGTAATTACATACAAGTTTTAATCGAAAATAAAGGTGTGTTACTCGTTGACGCCTGACGCGTTGTTACCGTCGACCCAATCTATCGAACATCAATATCATTTTGGCAATCAATATAAAAACAATTGGAAAAGTGTTCGTGAGTAGCACTGTTTGTACGTACTTATAAAATACGGGCAGGAATAAATCCGACTCCAAACGATGAGGATTCCAGACTTATCGTACAAATTGATATTTTTATTATTTTGTATCATGAATCGAAATTGTGATGCTTCATAACAATTCTGTAGTTATTATTATTACTTTTAAGTCAATGGAAAAGAATTCTCTATAAGGTATTTTTGCTGTTGTGAAAGCGTTAATAAAAGAGTTTTTACAGCCTACAAGTAAATCGTTGTATACCTTAGTAAAATCTGACCACATACTGCTCTCGTTCCCTAAAATAATTCGCAATCCTTAACAGGGAAACGAAATCGTGTTTTAATTTTTCTCCTTTTCAGTTACTGATAAAAAACTTCCATGTATGTCACTGCACTTTGAAATATGAATCGTGTGAACCAATTTTTCAGAGTACAATTCTTTATACATAGGTTCGTAGTACCGTAGGTTGATCCCTCTGCAAATATTCGTTCGGATTACGGGCGCCATGCTCACGGACACGCCGCTTCATCGAATTGAGCACTTCACACCTTTGACACTTGAAACTATGATTTTAAGTCTCACATTTCTATGACGCGTGATCCCATAATTGAAATGCAACCATTTCTACATATGTGTGTACGGGTTTTTCGTTTCTATTTGGATTTTTGTCCCATGGAAGTATCCACTGCGTCCTATCTTGCTTGTTATGATCCTTTTGACGTCGATGTACTTGGTTAGTATTTTTTGGTAGACGCAACCACATTTTGAGTTGCACGTTCAATTCAAAATGTTTTCAAAGCTTTGTTTTAAAATCAACATTTTTATGTAAATATAAGCAGATTTGTCTAGTATGACACGCTGTGTCATTAAATTCTTTATATCAATTAAAAATACATAAATTTATGGTAAGTAGTTAAAAATTTATCACTCTGAACGTGTTGTGAAAAGCATATGAATTTGCTTCATGTAAAATATTGACATACAACTGAATATTTTGGAGACTCTGTGTCTGGCCCAAACGAGCTGAGTATTAATATAATGTGTTCAAAATGTCCGAATCTAAAAATAGTCTTGCACAAATAAAAGTAGGGCAGTGACATTGAACCTGCTAATAGAGAACAGGTTCATTTAAACGTCGCTTGAACTTGACCCTATTATATCCCTATTTTTGTTAGCCGGTTTAGAGTGTATCGATTTATATTGGACCTTCTTCAATGCTTCAAGCTCTGTTACCCAGATATCAATAATATTTATAATGTCGTTTGTTTTGACAAAGATAGATGGTGTAAGAAGAAGAGATGGTTTTTGTTGAATATCAAATTGAAGAATATAACAGCATATAGTGTATTGTTGATTACCAAGTAACCGCACCGGTTCTAAGATCTTCCAACAGCTTCTGTAACGCCTGAACACCGTAACAATTACTAAGGCATCCAAGTGCATCAGTAAATGTATTTTAAAATTGAACTCAACGCCTAAAAGGTTAAATAAATGTTGTTCGCAGTAAATACGGCTGGTTTCGTGACTTTGAAATAGCAGCTCTATTCATGTAAATCTGAAAAACAGACGTGAATAGTGATGTCAAAACATTTTACTTACAAAGCAAATTACATTATGTCCATGCACCGCCCGTGCACACAGCAGATGAGTTTGCAATATAATTTTAATAATGTATGCCGGTGTGAGCCAAACTGTGATTGCTTTGACACGACGATGCTGCCACGTTGATATCATTATAGTTGACGATACATTGTTGACACTTCATCCTTTTAAATTAACTCATTTGTCGAGTATTGTTACGATTGTTAAGGCTCAGTTTTTGAGTTTCTGTAAGGGTCATTGTGAAATTTACAAAACAAAATTTTGAGCTTATTGTTAACAAAGTTTGGACGAATACCTGAAGACAAGGAATGCGTTACATAACGATACGATTTAATGACACGATGTCTTAACGCCACTAACATGTGGAAGATCAAAATAAATTTGGGATAGGAAATACGACCACTTTCTTTTTCTCTAAGTATATAAATTGTGTTTATCATTTCACTTTACTGTTTCTATTTTCCTTAAATGACAAAGATAAAGTTTTTAGATACTAGAAGACAAATCAACGAAAGTGCTAACAACACTTCACAGTGATTTAAAGATTAATATTAATCAACTAATGCCGTCGATTTGATTCTATCGATTGCAGCGCCCTAGTTGTCTTTGTGTGGATTAATTAATTCCTGACAGTGCATGAGTAATGCAAGAGGTCATTCTTGCACTTTATTTGTGGTCAAAGTATATTCACACGCGATTGAGAAGTACAAATTTCAAAGGAAGTTAAACGCCTACATTTATTTGAATAATAAATTGAATTAAAAATGTTTATACGTCTATTTCTCGTAAATTGTACACGTTATTTTGTAGGACAATTACTTTATCGAAGTGTCTGTTTTTGTATTGTAACTATTGTGAGATATTATACTAAATTTATTAAAAATTACTACTTTCTCACGCGAATTAATTGAGAAAAGCTCAACTAGTTTCAAGCCACAACAGGAATCTTATTCATGAGCAACATCGCGCGTCGCGGTGACGGTTGAACAGCCGACTCTCTTTTCAAACAATATCCTTGAGAATTATCCCTATTGCCTGCCATTGACCGTCATGACTTTGTTATCAAATAAATAATCTCGGTTTCTCGTTAAGGTACCTAACTGAAGAATAGTTAACAAGATCCACAATGTGCGACAGGATTACCGCCAGGGCCCAACCACCAAATGGCTTGGTAAGTTTTTGACAGGATCAACCTGACGCAGCGCAGCGATTGTTTTCCTGATTTATATACGTATGTATGATTGAGTTTAGTTTTATGGAAGTATTTAATAAATACCGTATGAAGGTCCATCGTTCACGACCTGTACGGTCGTACTCCATGCCAGAGCGAGCCTGTCGCTCGCTCAGTCGCAGCCGCCGCCGCAGATATAACAGCGTACCTCCAGTAAGAGCGGCGCGTTCCGAATGTTGCGTAAGTATTGGATTTTCGTACTTTTGATGGTCCTACACTCACCACTTAACTTGAGCTACGCGATCTATGTACTTTCGTCTTTTTTTCAGTTTTGTCCAGGTTTTGTTTTGCTTTAGTCGTTTCGTCCTGCACTTACCTTATAGTAGAAATATTTTGAGGAATGGTTGATACGTGCACGCTACGCTTTTTCACATATCAGTTGGTGTTGTTGATGAACTCAGACATTTTTGTTACATAAAAGTGTTGTATGTTGTTTAATGTGTAAGTTTAACATTGTTGTTGTAGAAATGTTACTTGTAATGTACCTATAATGAGAAACAGCGCGCCTGGCAAATTTCGCTGAGCTCCATATCAAATGTTCTGTTTTGTCCTTCGCTAATGTTATTTATTCTTTAACGTATTACATAAAGCGCCTATTTCACTAGTTTTATATAAGTACCTACCTGTTAAACTAAAGTGAAACAATACATTCTGTATTAAAAAAAGTCTGGTACTTAGCGTTTGTTCAGAAATCGAAAGAGGCCCTTTATGTTTTAGACCTTAATCTTTAAGATGGAACAGATTCAATATTTCGTATTTTGCAAATGCAACCGTCTGAATCCCGCCGTAAGGTCAGATACCTTTGTTGTCAGATACCCCTGTAAAGTGAATCATTAACTATTAAAAGAATAAGAAATTTAAGCAATTATATGTTTATTTATTTATGGAGAATAATATTGCATTTTAATACGATACATATATCATCTATTAATAAAACAGGTACAAAGTCACTACATATTCCCAAAGTAACTTCTTCCTGCAGACTTGCGACAAGAAAATTAAATAAAACACAATACACTGTACAACGTGCAAAACGTATTTTATCACACATCATAAAACTCATACTACAATTATTATAAATATACATATACTTATCTATTTCAAAATATTCATATTCTGTTCATTATATCCATACTACTCTCGTGCGGTTTCACCCGCTGCTCGGCTCAATTTCATCGTAGCGTTGATGTTTTGCCTATAGCACTCAGAAACATTGCACCTATCTATCAGTGAAATAATTTTGGCAATCCCACCAGCGGTACCAAAGATTACCCCCTACATTACATACAAACTTACAAACATACAAACTTACAAACAAAGAAATTTTACCTCTTTATAATATAAGTATAGACAAAGCTGTACCTCATGAGGATAACTGTCGTTTATTCAGTTCGCCTAAGCCAAATTCTGAAATGCCGTAAATTTTTATTATACTTATATGTTTTTTTCCTATTGCAGATCGCTTTCTTGGCAGAAGGCAAACCGTGGTCCGCTGATGATTTCACTCAAGAAACTGCACAAAAGAGTGCCGCGTGGTCGTCCGATTATTACAGCTCGGACAATAGTGCGACTTATCACCGAACCAACAGTGGCTCTGAAGCAAGCTACCAGTACGTATTCTTTGTATAATCAAGTGAAAGTCAAAAACATTTATTCGTATGCAGTAAATATGTATATGTGGTCGTGGTTGCCCGGAGGTTAAGGCGCCCGCTTGTCATGAGGGGCGGGTTCGGAAATTGGCAAGTAGTACGAATGTAACTTTTTTCGAGTTATATGTACTTTCTATGATCATTTAGACACCACCGGCATACAGTGAAGGAAAACATCGTGAGGAAACCTGGACATATAATATAATTACTGATTATAAGTTAGAAATCCCTAATCCGCCTTGATCAAGCGTTGTGATTATTGCTCAAACCTTCTCCGTCTGAGAAGGAGCCCTTGCTCAGCCGTGGACACTTATAGGCGGATGATAATGATGATGATGAAAAACATTCGAATGGAGAAGAACGACAATGAACTCCATCGTTACCCTCTTTGAAAATTTATATATTCCATCTATCAGTGAAATAATTTTGGCAATCCGACTAGCGGTTCCAAAGATTACCCCCCTACATACAAACATACAAACCTACAAACTTACAAATTTTACCTCCTTATAATATTAGTATAGACTTGAAAACATATATGATTTGATATATTAAAAAAATATATCTGACTACACACATACTGGATCAATCTCTATTTTCGTATCAACATAAAACTGTGCTGACCGTACATAAATGTGTATGTATGTGTGACTAGTTACGCAAATAAGTATTAATCTAGATGAAAGACAGATAGAAGGTCTCGATTTCTGGATGACAATACGAAGCTAATTATTATCCCGATAACAGAGACGAAGCTAGCAAAGTTAATTACCTTATAATATTTGTTTCGCTAATCCCAATCAACGAAGATGACAAAGTATTAGATTTTTGGATTATTACTTATAAAAACAGCACAAGAATATGTGCTAAGGTGCCGCATATATCAGAACTGGTGTAACGGATTCAAACACATGGCTAACACCCGGTTTCTGAAGGGCTTGTCAACGCTAAAATTAACTAATCTCCTGTTGAATGTCTTGTCAAGTCATCTGATTGGTTGTTGATAATTCAGTCAACCAACCAGATGACTTAACAAGAGATTAAATTGATTTTAACATTGATCGGCCTTTCGGAAACCGGGGGTATGGCTAATTAATTTTGTTTTAAAAAATGGGATTCTTTTTCCAAAAGTAGTCATTTGTTTATTGATTAGTGTTACATTTTCAGCGCATTTCAAATAAAAAAATTCGTTTACATTTTTTATGCAAAACGGCAATTTCATAGGTGAAGACCTATTCATAAAAGTGTAAAGTTTGCCATCAATGAAAATGGAGGCGTAACACAATTATATCCAACAGTAAGTGAATTTATTTAAACCAATTACAACATAAATGTGTGCTTTTCACTGTTTTAATGTTGTTATAACTACGCATTTGTACCGTCAGGTGTTCCGTTTGCGATACCGATATTTGTCAATTGAATCGTATATTGAAGTTATAAATAATCCAAGCACTAGAGTTAATAATTAAGGTTTAATATTTTTTTGTTTGGAGTTTATTCACGTCACTATTTCACGAGTTTACTCTATAGTTTCAAGTTACCAGGCTTACAGTCTTTTAGCAATATTGTGCGGTCTTTTAGCGACGCTCGCGCAACCAATTCTTAAACTGTAATTAGTCGATAAACAGTGTGACACATTCATTCAAGCATTTTTTATGACCGGTTTCTGATTATCGCCCATGTCGAACATACCGTGTGAACAAGTTACATGCATAATTATTGAAAATTCAATACAATTGTTAATTCAGAGGAGAGATATGTACATTCAGATTAATTGATGGCCAAACACAACTACCAAACCCAGCGCCATCTTGTGACGGTCATACCTGAGTCAGAATCCAGCGCTCACGGCTCAGTTGAAGCTTTGCAGGCAGTCGAGCAAATACAGTTTTGCTTACAAATTAACGTGAGCAAATATTATTACAGCGGGCGCTAGACTCAAATCAAAGTCTGTGTAAATTGTAGGGATGTCATCCTGTATAGGTTCTCCTTAGACACAGCATCGTCTTATTGTAAGATATTGCAGGCGACATGGCGACAAGTCCTTAATTGGCATGCACTTCATCAAGCGGAATATTCTAGAACATCTAAGAAATTTCCTTGAATTTGTGAACACTAGAAATGTTGCGATTCCTATTTTCGCCTGACGACTTGTTAAGTTTGATCGGATATTTATAGAATCTCAAATATAATGGTAGTAGGTACTTATTAATAAAAAATGTTAAAATTTTTACTTCTAAATGATAATATTCATTACATATTTTAATCAAGGATTCATATAAAAATCAGGGGATTTTTCTCCTATCAACGAATTCCTTAACCAAAATTAATTGTATCGATGATACTCTAATATTTTAGAAGTGGTACATACCAGAGTTATTGGAATTCAGTCTAGAGACGGATGTGGGCGTGCAAATTAAGTGTTATAATAAGCACCAATTTTCAGAGCTTGTACTGAGAATTATAAATCAGTACGTTAAATTTACTCAACCTGAAATTAAATTGTGAAGCTTTGTTTACTTCTATAAGTTATTTTAGAATAATAATAATTATTTATGCACTATTTTACACAATTAATCCATGCCTCAATTCAGAATTTAAATTATACCTTTTATAATCAGAATTTCAATAGAGGTCGATTTGAGAATATCCTTTGTTACTAGCCCATGCAGTGGCTCATTAACTATGGCACTATGGCAACGCACATAGAAATAAACCGTAAAAAACAGATGACGCCACAAATCTTACATCGCGCAAGTGCAGATTAGCATGGATAGAAAATACCAGTGGGTCCAGGGTACCAGGCATGATCGATAAACTCGCTTGATCTCTTTTTGTGATCTTTCTTTTTGTGATCTTAGGGAATTGTATAATCTTTGCTATGGGCAAAGATTATATAAGTCCACTGTTAGTCTAGGAGTTTTCTCTTAAAAATGGGTCTTGGCCATCTCATGTTGAGCAGGTAAATGGGAGATAGCACTTTAAAATGTTAAACAGAGCACCCTTACTACATAGGTATCGGGATGCGATCTTTATCCAAAATCTATGGATCAAAATCGATTACCCGTCAATTTTTTTTATCGATTTTGGATATACATTCGTTATTGATTTTGACCCATAGTAAGCTCTTACGACTTTATAAGAACAGTGGGGGTTAATCACAATTATATTCCATTCTGCTGTCGGCACAAATCGAAATACACATTAATAATTAGGTCGACCTGGGAACTAAGGCCCTTTGTTGCCGGTCAACGCAAACAACAATACTGTGCATACAATATCCTGACTCTGGTTTCTAGTCACAATTGATGACCGGAGATATGTTGGAAACTGAGCCGATGATTGCCCCCGTAGATATTAGGAGCTGCCTATGTCCGGCCACACTAGCCTCCATTTTAATTAATTGATTGCAATCTGTCCATCCTGTTGATTTAGGTGCGTCATTGTTTTGGTAACACTAACCGAAGACTTATTTTGGGCGGTTTTAAAGCATCAAATCTCTATCAGTAGTAAGTATCAAGGGCTTTTAAATAAAGTTCTCAGCTTGATTGAGGGATTTGAAAACACATATACAGTACTTCAGTCACATTGTCGCCTATCAACTACTATCACTATAGCCTATCACTATAGGATATTGGAAGAACCGGTTCTTATACCTGGCAAGAATCAATGTGACTTTTCCGAATTATAATTATGTACTTTCTTAATATTATTTAGACACGTCTGACAAACGGCGAAGAAAAACGTCGTGAGGAAACCTGGACTTACAATTTCACCCCACTTGAGTACGTTTTGGTTTGATGCTAATTCCTTCTGCGTGTGAGATGAGATCATTCTCAGTAGTGAGATGTTTAAGGAGTATATGGATGATGAACTTAATACATTTGCTAAAATACATTTTACATACAGCTCCATCTTCTAGTTGGGGAAAAACAGATGAGATTTTAGTTCTGCATGTGATTACAACTTTTAATTAATTGACAGATGGTCTGGTTCACCTAAAGAGTCGCTGTCCACGCCCATGAGCCCAACCCACGGAGGCGAGAATGCAGTCGATCAAACCCTAGCTTCCCTTGCATCTGTGAGTATAAGTTCTTATTTAATTACGGCAATGCAAACGAAACTTTAAGTTTTACTTGTTAAGGTTCTATTTATTATTCATTAATGTATCGATATCGTTATGTACAGAATAGTGATGACATTGTACGTTATTCGGTTAATTATAATAAAGGAACGAAAAGTAAGTATGTGTATGAGGAAAGAGGTTATGTTACATGCATGGCGATTAAAAAAACATTTTTATATTAGTAAATTATTATGCATAGATTTAGGTATGTTATGAAGCGTCCTCTCGTACGGAATGAAGTATGTTAGGATCCTGATTACTATGATGTATCCATGTTTTTAAGGAATGGGTGGCAAATAAGTAGATTAATCGCCTGATCGTAAGCATCGTAAGAAATGTGGGGTTAATTGGGCCCCTGGTGACTTCAAACACAATATAAGCGTTGTTTTAGACCGGTTTTATGTGAGACCGTGGTACGAGTATCACTCCGGTTGGGTAGGCATGTGGTGGTTTTCAGTCAGTACTGGTTTTGACTGTCCCTAGACGGGAGGAGAGGAACAAGGATTAATCTTGGTTCAATTTTTGTTCGTATGTTCTTAGTGAGTTTCGACTTTAAGGTCTTTGCTATATGTAACTTGGAAATGTCGTTTTGACGTCCGTTAACTGAATATCCGATGAATTTGTGATTTATTACTCAGTCGATTTTTGAGATGTAACCGATCCTTGGGTATAATTATTTATAGGTATGATTAAATGTTTTGTAAGAGAGACAGATTCTAAAAGTATTGCTGTCCTCAGATTGTGTACAAAGTATGGTGTATTGATCTAACTCGGACTCTGCTCTTTTACTTCGAATCCTACTTAGTAGGGACTCAAATACGGAATGATTACATAGGAACAAATGTTAGTATCTGTAGGGAACGGGTCTCATTTTATAATAATATACTTTTTAATTAAGGCCAAGTTCGGACGGTCGCGCCATCGTAATGAAGACAAAGAACGTTTTTTGGCGCGGAAAAAGAAATCTTATGGGCGGTCGTTAAAGATCGTATGTACTTCATTTTATATAAAAGGTTTCCAGCATCCGCATGACCATGTCGTATGTTGCACGACCTTCTGAACTTACCCTTATGCTTGGAAACTATCATCATTTTCTTCTCAAACTCAGGTCTTTTTTTCGTCAAAGACCGTTCATATATCGACCAATATCTTCAATTGCTTGAAGTGATGTTCCTTTCAGAAACCATTTTTCTCATCATGGTTGCCCATTCATGTGACCTACAAGAACCTTTATACGTCATTAGTATTCTGGCATTTCTGCCATGATTCATAAAGTTGGAATATACATAATATACATAGTGTACTCTACCTTTTATCAATATTCATTAATTCAATCTGGTCGAAATGTCTGCTGAGTTACAAATTATTACAAGAATATTATATAGTTTACCCCTGTATTGTCGTACCCCTTGTTGGAAAAATGCAACGCGAATGTATCTTGTGTTCTCAAAACTTGAATTCAAAACATTTATTTGCATTCATAATGTAAAATAGGTGTAATCGTTTTATACCACATCACTGTCAGCCTGTCGGGCACAGCACATTACGGGGCTTTATTATAGTAAAATTACAAAATTACAATAGTTATTTTATTAATATATAACTCCTCTTTGAGCAACAAGTAAATGTCAATACAACAGTGGCTACTCCGATCAAACAATTGACCGAAACTGCTACCGTTTGTATCGCGATGCGGTTCAGTGGCACATTCACTGCGGTCCGTAGCGTGCCATTGCCTCTGTAGTTAATTAATATTTCATTTACAATTTTCCACTGCATTTTGCTACTTAAAGCACGCACAAACGTTTATTACTTTAGGAAAATATCAGGCTCTCTGCTGGAATGCGATTAGTCATTACAGATCATCGTGATTTCGATTTTGATCTCGGCAATGTTAGTCACATTTTTTTATTTTCTTGTGTTTTATTAGTTTACCTTTTTTAATTTGCCATTTTAAACGAATGTATACGGAAACTGTTAACTATTTAAATTAAAATCTTTAAGCTCTTTATGCGCAGCCAACAATTGCACAGAGCCACAATGTGTTTTCTCCATGATCATCTACTTTCAGGTCTGCTCTATCAATGTTATATTGATAGAAAACTCCTTTGTATCGTGTATGCCATTACCATATTGCCTTGCATACCAAGTCAGCACGATCATGTACTTAAGGCTTGCACAATGAAACGGCTCTTCGTCTGTGTGACGACCTGCATGAGCACCCGGTGTCTCCTGTTCTTTACAAGCCATCTTTAGCCTCTCGTTCCACGTTTTCCAGGGATGGTCCCTATTTACTTCATCTGTCAGCAAAGCTGCTCGCACTGCCACTGAAAGCGCCGTGCGTTACGGAGGCATCGCATCGCAGAAAGTGACCGAGATGGCTTCTACCGTTACCGAAAGGGTGAGACATTTGGATTTACATTGCCAGTCCCATTGATTGTGGACTTATTTCATCCCTATAAGGATGCAGTGCTTTATTCACACATTACGTGAATAAAAACTAACTGGTACAAGATCAACCAGTAAGAGAGAAGTTTTGCTACGACAGCACGCTTTCAGCTCTGGAGCTGGGCTTGTATTTCTGCAATGAATCCAACGAGTTTCTGGAATTTCGTCTTCAACTAAGGTCAGGTGCAGTATTGCTTCTGGAAAAAGCTTTTTCCAAATTTCACCAGCTATGTGACAAGGAAATATTATTCTTTTGACTTGACTACCTTGTTGGTTCAGTGGTTTGTGTACAACCGCAGGCCATGAGGTTTGGGGTTCGATCCCCAGGTCAGCCAAAAATGAATTGGTATTCATAACAAAATTCACCTTTAAAGGACCGAAGCCGGATAAGCAGGCGTTGATTAAATTCAGGTAAAGGTCCTGTGTCTGACCTCTTCGATCTTGTGGGATTATCATTCCTTCAGGTCTTGAGGTTCAGGGAACACAGCGCGGACCTACATTTGCACAGATACTCATGCACCAATAATCTCCGCAGTTGGCTGGTCGTGACTGGCCATCAAGCAAACTAACCACGCTTATTTCACACTGAAAATTAACCAGAAGAAAACATTTACCGCTTCACTAACATATTAAAACTAAATTATTTTTTGTTTCTTTGTGTACTTTTTAGTTTGGTTTTTCGATATAAAAACCCGTTTGCGTCCGATAGCCCGTCAAAAGAATGTAGTTTGTCTAACACCACACTGTAAATTTTAGAAACGGAGCGAGAACTCTTGGATAAAGAATTGGAATTTCTGTTTTATAATTTGGTAAGTTTCAATCTCTGGTAGTGGCATAGTTACCTATATATTGATGATGCTAATGAGAGAGGTGTAATAAGGCTAAGGAGATGTCACAATACGATATTTCGAGGGATGAAGGTTAGGTAAGGTTTCAGGTACAGTCGGATGCAAGACAAACGCTTATGTAGCTCAATTGAATTCGTATTTAGAACCGTTCTACGCAGGCAGGTGATCTAAGATCTTTGGGTCCTGATGTCCACAATGAGGTATTATACAACCTGTTTTCTATCTCACAACTCTAGGATATGATTGAGACCATGACAAATAATTAATTGGTATTACAATTATGTTACACTCATTTTGGTTTTTCCTTTTCTATTTTAATGAATAATGGGCAGTCATAATTGATTGTTAACGTAAAGTAGCCTTACGTAACATATGATATCATATAAATATGAATTATTGGTTAAACCAATGCATCATGAGGTTTGAAAGCCTCTTAAAGCTAAAGGTCCATCTTACAGAATTTTTTACCTAAATAACTTAAATATCATTGATGGATAAATCTGAAACAATGCATTTTTGGACCACTTGTTCTGGGTTGTTTTAATTTACAGAATATAACCCAAGAGTTATGGGATAATTGCGGGAGCAAGCGCGGCTCGGCTCCGTGCAGAAGAACGATCGGGGTGATTTTAGTCAGTAAGAGTCGGAAACTCCACCTAGGGCTGGAGAAGTCATTAGATGATTTTCCCCATCGAAAATAAAGGGTAAAGAGTTGTGGAATATAAAAATAGGTTGTATACCTCTGCAATATGTACTGCATTACTTTAAATTTCATAGTGAAATCTCAATTTTTTATTGTATTTAGCTAACTCTAGAACATACATCATGTTGTGTGATTACGTTAGGGTATCAATCAGTTCTCAACCTATATACTGTTATAATCACCATGCTTTGATTGTTACCTGTTGTAATTACCTTAATAAATAAATAAATAAATAAATAAATATGCCGGTTATGTATTCTGTGAAGAGGGTAGTTCTAATTTTTTTCTCGTAGGTACTAACATTTACTAATCAGTCAGCGGTGTGGGTATAAGTTAAGAATATCAATGTCTCGTGTACTAAAATTTGTGGAAATGTGATCCGCAGGTCAACAACCGCGCTGGTTGGAGCACCCTTGGTGGAAGCACTGATCAGCGTCGTGGATCGCAAACCTCGGGCTCATATCAATCCTCTGGCTACGGAGCAATGAAGACCTCGGCATCGGAACCCTACTCTTCATGGTATGTAAACAATATGTTGACTGCTTTCTTGCAGGCACACTGCTTCCGGCTTAACCAGTTTGAAGTTCTTCGGGTACATTTATGCTCTTTGGATAGTTGAAGATATAATTATATTGCTTAAGCTGATACTGCATAGTTAAAGATATATTCTTGTTAATTTACTTGAAAAAAATGTACATGTTTTTGTATACAACCTAAGATATGTAACAAATACACTTGTCTGAAACATTACACATATACAGGCGACAGTTGTTACTAAATCTAAAATTGCAATTGAGTTCACGAATTGGTTCGCCTCTTGACACTCGCTTTGATGCGGCTTGCCAAACTTAGTGTCTTAAGACGGTGGCCGTTGTTGAAAATGGTGTTTTATTCCAACACCGAGAAAGATACAGATCGCTTCAGCATCTTTTATTTGTGCTCGCAAGATGCTGCGTTTAATATAGGGCGGTCAACTGCGTTGCTTATCCGATCGATTGGTGCTGGGGGCTTGGTTGCTTGCTGTTGCGGGTTGGATTGGAGTCGTTCGTATTGTTCGCTGTTTCGGTTGGTTCACTACTCTCTGGTAACAGTTCCTTCGTGCGCGCCTCTTAACATATCTGCAGAGTGCAAGCAGATTCTCCAGGTGGTGCTTCTGTCGAAGACGCGCTTAGCGAGTAATGAAAATGTCAGGTGACGTAATAGCCACTATGTAACAAAGTACGAAATAAAATTTCCAGGAACGAACAGTTGCAACCGTGGAAAGAGTCGGTTGCAGCCCGAAACAACCTGGACACCCGCGATCTATCGCAAGTGGGCGTCTCCAGTCCACCGCCGGATATAAAGAACCTCACCATAAAAAAGAAGAATACATCAGATGAGGATTCTTGGGATTGGCTTAACAACTAAGCTACCAAGGTATACACCGTGCTAGAACATCATGCCTGTATATGGGTCGACGTTACATGTCCTCATTGCTGAACTAACCAGACTAGTATCACCTCACGATCGCCATCCATCGTTACCTTGAGTGGGATCTTCCATCTGCTGGCTGTCCATATATAACAAAATAACATGTATGTAATATATCCATAAAATATACGAGTATTTACTTTATATATGTATATACATACCTTACTAATAATATATTGGTCGTTGGCAACCCCTGTCTTATTAGCCATTGGTTTATTAATTCAATAGTCGTCACTCTGGTCTATGTGGTTTGGTGTTGGGTTGTGGGACAGGACTTCCAAGGCCTATTTCTCAAAAGGCTATATTCTCTTTTAATTTCTTGATTATTCCTTCAATGTTCTTCTATATTCTAATTGAGTTGGGTTTAAGATGGGAACAAATGTCGAAAGTAAACTTTAATAAAAATGCTAATCGGACTGAATTTTATTCAAATTAATGGTATATAATTTGTCACACAATTATGTGATTAGTTGAATTGATACTTCACATGGAATGACTCGTAAACAAAACGAACTGCTCTTCTTCTTTTTTTTTTTTTTCGAAATTTTTACATCTATGGTATCAGTGGCTTTAATATATTCATCTTCTTGGGAGTTTCATGGTATTAAGTTACAATTTTCGCCTATAAAAATAGGTAAGTTATTTCTCTTTGTTTTTCTAAAGAAAATGATTCTATAGACAGATGGATAATTATTTATTGTTATAGTTTTGTTTGACACTTAAATCTGTTTGTCATCCCATTTGTTAATCAAAAAAATTGTCAAAAATGTATTATTTGTGTTATGAAAAGCTTTTTGAAAGTGTTTATGTTTTCATAAACAGCTGATATTACTTGAAAAGAAAGATGCCAATACAAGACAAGAATAATTATAGCGAATATCGTGGACAAAAAAATCTTTTTTCATCTAACCTGAATTAATGAAAACGACAATAACTCTTTCAATGAAGACGTTCCTATTTGCGATTGGCTTAAACATTTTACATTAAAAGTGTTCGAGGTTCAGTTTGTTTACGTTGCGAGCCATTTCTATAAAAATAAAATAATCATGTTAAATTGTACTAGCTTTTATTCAGAAACGTTAAATACGAAGCTTATTATATTTCTGTATCCTATGTATACTTACTATATTTATATTGTGATTATTATATTATATTTTTTAATACATAATTATATTATATTATAAATTAATCACTATTATCAAAATATATTATGTAATTTTTCATATATTGAACTCTAAAACTAGTTGTTATAGAAAAATTTAGTATGGAAAAAATCTGTTCATATTTTTTTATATAAGTAGTATGAAAATATATTATTATATTTTTTACTATTAGAATTTTATTTAAATAAATATCACCGATATAAAAACAAATGATGGGAATCTAAGAGCCGCAAATTGGGAACATACACGATATATTTTACTCAAAATCAGTAAACAGGCTTAATAATTTAAGATTTAATTAAAAAATATCGTCTAATAAAACTCACGCGTTTGAAAAATGGTCATCTGAAAATGCTGTGTGTTGTTAAGAGTTGAGAGTATTGAATACAGTACATATATTCGAGATTGTCCTATAGTTTCAGACAAAATGGGTCAAAAAAATTCAGTTAAGTACTCACTTTACAGCACTTTAGTTTCATTTTGATTGAACAATAATTTGAAGTTGTTCAAATGACCACTACGTGCAGAGGAAATTCTTTGATAAAATTTATTCTATTATATCCGACTGTTCTTTTCTTATTTGAATTTTTCTATAACAAACTAGTAAAATATCAGCTATATCACGCCTAACATTGGTTTTGAGGTAAGCTGCCAAGACATTATCATAATTCCATGTCATATAAAATGGTTGCTTGCCTCAAAAAACCCAAGAATACTCGTATTAACCATTCATTAGAATATTAACATCAAAATAAATGTTAAATATTTATAATAAACCCCTTTTATAGCAAGTTATCAAACTTTAATTCATACATTTATAGTTCTTATGTTCAGAATCAGAGGTCAATAATGCAGTTGCACTATACCAACGCTAAAACGTATCTAAAAATATTTTAAAGGGGAAGGTTAAGGGTTTTTGCGACTGATTTAATTTGTAGCAAAGATTCTAAAGTATTGAATAACCCGTTTTTCGATCACTGAAGTTCTCTAACAAAGATATGTCAAGTGTTTGAGAGCTATGGTTCGGCACAAATGGGCCAGAACAGTTCCACAGAAAACTGGCATGGAACTACCACAGCGTTGTGTTTCGCCGTGTGTTAGTTAATTAATAGTTCATCCCCTCAATCTTTCAATCCCTTTATTAGGTACAAATTGCTTTCCATCAGATAATCCAAGTACTCGATTTCTTTATTATATATATAGAAAATAAGACATTTTTGCATTGGTGAAGTGCAAAAAAACTCTAGCTGATCTAGTTTTAGATATACCATAGTCATCATTATACTAGTGTTATAAAGCATGCTTGCCAAAAGAAGGTCTACATAAACTAGAATTATAATAAAATATCATAATATATTTGGGCAATATTTTCTCCTCTCACTTCTCCAGCAGATTTTAGCTTTACATACTTATACTAATATAATTTGTCAATTCAAAACTTAATCGTTGTATCGTTTGGGCTTAGCTCTAAATAGGGTTTATTATAATATTTAAAATCTAACCTGATTATACTGTTTTTATATTGATACTATTGGCACGTGATATTGGTGAGAATTAAACTCATATTGAAATAAAGAAGAGAGCATGGCTAGCTTTGATCTGATTAAAGCAGTTTGTCATTCCTTCCATTCTTGGTAAGCGGTTCGGTTCAGTCTCTCATTTCTCACTTCAAACTCCAAGGGCTTTCACAATGGCTGAATAGCCGTTACGTACCAGATAATTTTATTTTTACGAATTCACACCTAAGTGTAAATTCTAAATTTAAATGTGGACATATAATTTAGATTTTATGTTTATTGATAATTTATATGATGGCGTTGAAACAGGCCCTATCTGTGTTTCATTAGATATTGCCAATATCTCGTGTGCCATTTTATTCTTAAGCATTTCGCCTTAGTAATAATGTTCAATGTTGCACGATAATTATACATAATACATTGCACTGATTTTGTCATTTACATAATAGATTTTAGATGGTTTTTGAGTTTAGGTGGAACTAAACGTGACTTAGTATAGTTTTCAACGCAATCTAATAAATTATTTCAGGAAGAAAATATCATCGATAGACTATACTCCATTCAATATATTGTTAGATTTTTTTAGCATACTAGACACTAGAAACTTGTAGAGCTATTGATCCTGCATAAAATCTTTAGTCGTTTAGAATTTGTAGCAAAGGGGCAGCGAAGACTTATTGAAAGAATTGATTTTATTCATATACATATCAATAGTTTCATTGAGCTACAAATGTGATCTCACATGTTATTATGTTGGGAAGTTTACAATATAGCACATCATCCAATATTGTGTTCTTCGAAGTTTACACGGTCATACATTAAATAAAAAAAACCATCAATACTTATCATTATGCATTCGATAGGTATAGATAAATACTGTTATATGGGTTATTGTTATATGGGTGTATTAGACTAGCGACTCGTTACAGCTTCGCACGGGTGCAATACAAATATAAAATTTCTCCACTATTTAATAGATGTATATAAACTTCATCTAGTTTTCACATATAAATTGACGTGTAAAAGTGCCGTTTTATGGCCTATTTGCAAAAATAAATTCATTGTTTCATTGTTTGTTACAAACAATATTTACGAATACTTATTTGGAAAACAATATTAGTTATTATTGTGCACAAAGAAATATCATTTTAATGGTACTTATTGATAATAGATATTTAACTAATAACAGTTTTAGGGGATATCTTTTAAATGAAATTATAACAAATGTTTCTATTTAATAACTCATATTCCAATTTGTATTAAGCTTGCGGCCTGCCAAGCACTCGAATTTATTAACCATTTTTTTCTCATTAAATGACAAAAGCGAATGGAACAATAAATATTAATCTAATTATTTTGTTTATCTAGTCAAAATTAGTTCAATAAATTAGAATATATGTTTAAGAGATAATGTGAGGTCACAACAGAATGTTACTCTGAAAATGTGGTTGAATTCTACCGCGTATCGACGTCACAGTGGTTTCGACCTCACCTAGATTGCGCGTAGATATTCATATATTTTTTTAATAGATAAATCTACTAACTCAATTTAATATTGCTTCTTTTTCAGAAGTTGTCGTTTTCTTGCCAAGTTTTTCTATACAAAACATCCCACCAACCAATTCATAGAAGTGCCTAACGATGTTTTTGTCTCATTTCAGCTTCAATGCAGAGTAAGGCCGCGGCGACCAGGTGGCTGTGTTTGCGTTCACGTCACTTCATCATGATTTTCTTAATTTAATTTTCTGTCACCACCGTGAATTGTATCGGAATTATTACTTGTTTACAAAAGTTGTTTATGAAATGTTCATAATAATTTGACCTACATACTAGGTACTGTTTTTATAGTTGTGGGTTACGCAATTTTTACAGTTGTTTAGTTAATAATCTTATACAATAATGCAAATGTATTATACTTAGTTTCTATGCGCACGTCGGTTACATTGTGATTTCAACACTGATGCTTTTATTACATACAAAGTTTTACGCTTAAAGTAAACTTCGCAATGTATTCGGAAATACCTTAATTAGAACATTCCAAATTAGTTGGTGGTTTATTATATACATCGAATTTTTAACGTTTTGTGGAACCACGGCTATTATGTATATGAGGCTTTGTGTAAATTATCAATTGGATCAAACTTTATTTTTTATTACATTGACAGTTTACTGCTTCAATCTAAGTATGCGACAAAATCGTCATTGTTTATTGAATTGATTAATTTAGAACAAATGTTTCTTAAGTTTTTTATCATACGACTCATTTGTGTTCGTTAATTCTTTGAAATGTTATAAATTTTATCGAAACGTCAATTAAGGCGCACCATATACCGCCATTTTGACGTAATAACGCTTCGTCCAAAAACGCGAGGGTAATAGTTCATTATTAATCTGTGCTAACATTCTCTAACGTCCTATCTTTTCCGTAACGATGCCCCTTGGTCGAAGTGAGCTTTATTAGCTTTACAGGCCTTACCACGCGTTGCTCTGGCCTATGATTAATCATTAGTGTTAAGATGTAAGAATGGTTATATGAGGGATGCACGTTTTGTACTCGCGTGTGGAGTGATTGAAAGCCTAGGCATCGTATTTAGCCTGTCTGGAAACAGTTGATTATTACATACTTTAAGATATACTTACATATGTTATTGCAACTGATGTGTTTAACATATCAAGTCATGTTCGACGCATGATAAAATGCATCACGACTTCATAGTTGTATTCTTCATAATATTAGTTGCATTAGTATGAGCCCATTAAAACAAGTTGAAGTAATAGGCGCGGGGAGTATGTCTGACCACCAGACCCACAATGGATCGCATTTATGAATAAGTTAGACAATTTTTACCGTAATTTTTTTAGTTAATGAATTCGGCACGTCAGGTGTTCCGTTTCCCGTCCGCGAAGACGGTTAGCATAATTGTTTAGTAGAATTATATTGTAATCTCTCGTTTTTTTATTCTCAGTGACGTTCCTATTCGTTTCTGATTATTGTTGTATTACATCTAATGTTGCCATTCGATGTCGATAGATCTATGAGTCTATATTGCTTCCCTTATTAATGTTTGGCCAGTCTCCTACCGTCCTGTTTACTAACTAAAATAAGTATTTTTCTTATCTTCTTCATTAAATTTATTTATCGACATCGATAAAGCCTTATCCACGCTGAAGATGGGGATTGAAAATTCTGTACAAAAATAGGGATAGATTTAAGTAGCTAGGGATTATTTACACAGCTGGATGGGGCTTCATATTATTCCAGGTACCTTTAGCTTTGATTATATTCAAATTATTTTAATTAGATATTTTTGATAAAGTAAGATCAATACCTATGTATCTATAATTATGTTATGTAAAAAATACTACCTATAGTTGTTTTTATTTTACTTTTAAGATTCGTATGGTATGTTAAATGAGGTGGGCTCACTGTGGGCTATGTAGTAATTAAACATTTTATTGATTAAATAATTAATGAATAAATCTAGATTAAACACAATTTTTGTTTTAATTTATTTGTCCAATTCATTCAGAGTTTACAGTATTTGTCGTAAACAAACCCACAATTGAGAAAAGACTCGGTCTGAGACAGAATGTACCTAACTCATTAGTTCAGAGTTAGCGGTTCTTTTTTTTATTATTTTTTGTATTGAATTTAAATATAAATAAAACATAATAATTGTAAACTCTCAATCACTGGTAGGTAATTACTCATATAATTGTAACCTAAATGACTTTGATACACATGATAATTAGGATGTACTTATCCTAAACTATCTCCCAAATATTTCCTACCTGTTTAACCATTTCAATGACTGTCTTGGAAATAATAAATTAATGCAAGAGTTTGGTCAGTTTTTTTCATACGAATTAATATAGGTAATATAAATATTTTGTAAACGCAGAATTGTAATCTGTAGTAGGTAAAGCTAGAACAAATTGCACATATCTCTGATTATTTAATTAGTCTCAATTAATAAGAATATTAATATTAGTTCGGTTGAATTGTTTTATCTTTAATATCACTACTTTTAGCCTGTGTAGAATGGTTGTTGATAGATGAGAAACCACGTTTATAAACCAATACTTTATGAAATCAATCGAATTTTGAGTAAATTTAATGTTAAAGTTTATTTTTGTGCTCTAACAGACGAACGGTGGGTAGGTACTCATTTTTTATGTTATAGCCTTTAGGACGGTAAAGGAGTTGAGAGTGCGTTACCGGCCTCTTAAGGATAAGGGTTTCGAATATTTAAGGATTGAGAGGGGATGGGGGAGGAGGAGGCATTGGGCCTCCGTTAGCCTCATTCACATGGCGAAACATAATGGTGTGGTTGTTTCACACCGGTTTTCTGTGAGGCTGTCACAACTGAGTAAAGCTAACTCAACGTCAACAGAGAGGACGTGACGATCTTGACACCTTCGACATAGATTGGCTGCAGAAAGCTTTGTGCAGAGAAGAATGGAAGAAGAGTAGAAAGGACTTTGTCCTGCGGTGGGACGACAAAGGCTACTAAACAAATAATAAGTCAAGTTTTCTGAAATGAAGCCATTTACATAAATAAAAGAAACAAATTTCGAATTTTATTTTTATTATTAACTTGATTACAAATTGGGTTTCTGAATTCTATACAATGAAATAATTCTTTCTTACAGTCAAATACTTTCAAATCCTGTACATAGGAATTCACGTTAGGAGTTTTATGGTGAAAAGGAAAACACATGAAGACATCCATGAAATAAGCACTTAATAATAAAATGGGTAAAAAATACCAGCGGTATTTATTACTATATAGGTAATTAATATAGTTACATCAATTCAAAATTCAAATAATGATCAACATAATAATGTTCCAGACAAGATAATAACAATATATGCACAGAATGACAATCATTATTCACTAAAAACCACCGAAAATAACATTAGGTATAAAACAACCGAATAAAATAGCTTACATTAATATGCAATTAAGATAATTACAATACATCTTATCATTCATGAATAACAAATAAGACAAACATTGACAGTCAAGTCTATTTTTAGGAGATGTATACAGAGATCTGTGAGTAAAAAAAGTTTGAATATATTAAATTATTGTAGCCCACAGTAACATCTAGCTTATGACAATGTAGGCCTGATGTTAAATAGATCAGGGTCAACAACCTTATTATCCATACAAATTACTGATACGAAAAATTACATTCACAATCAATTTCTACAGAAGACTAACATCTTAGTCGACGGGAACTTGACTTGCTACCTGACTATCTACTAACAACTAAACCATAATTTAATTCCAATTTCCGTCACCATTGTGCCCACCATTTTGCAATATTATTAAGTAAATTGTACACCTATCCAGTCTCAATAACTTACTATCAGCAGGTTGGTTACTAGATATAGTATTGTAATTGATTTCAAATAATTTCGCAGTAAAAGAATAACTTACCTAAGAACACTTACTTATATTGCCATCAAGAGCAAAGGACATATTTTTGGAGCCCAAACTCGATATGTATACTCGAACTTTTAATTCCATTCCAGATTTGACAATTTCAGTGTTGCAACGTTATGACACGTAATAAATAGTGACGTTGCGAAATTATTCGATATGGAAATCGAATATTTCTGTATCGATTCCTCTCGTTTATAAATTTAATCTCGTAAACTAAGTTTATCAGGAAATAAAATATTTCTGAACCGATAATTTAGTTTTGACAATTAATTAACGATCTGAGACTTTTCTTTGTTATTGTGTGTGAAATTAATAAAAAATGTGATCATGAAGGAACGTGACAAATAAAACAGACATTTTATAAATTGTCGCCGTCATCGCTATCGCTATCGCCGTTACTATATGTAACATTTATTATGAATTGTGTCTTTGATATTTATTGTCAATTAACATATCTAGCTTACTTATTTTTTCCTCTTCTTTGAAAACATGGGATACACATTTAGACCATTCGGTAGCCGTAATTTTTTGAATGCCTTCCTGAAACTGATTCACTGATTGTTTATCGATTTTTGTGTTCATCACTACACTGTTATATGTGGTATCATTATTTCACAAAATGACAGTGGTCAATGTCAAATCAGGAATCGAATTAAAAGTCTGACTATAGATATACTAGTTAGCAGTCCAAAGTTCTATAAGAAACGAAGAACTCTCCAGTGTGGTTTCCCATTTCTTTCTTTAAAGAAATAAGAAAGACTGCAATTACAATTACGTTCATTTTGAGACCAACCTTCATTACAGGTCGACCTAATAAAAACTTTTTAAAAAAGGATGTTTTTATTCTTTGAGCATTAATTGAAATTCTATATCTTGTAGCCAAATCTATCAAAGCACGTTATTGTCTGGCGTGCCTTTTAAAAAACAAGTACCTATAGATAATTATTGGTACCTACGATACACTCATCATAGCGATTGGTAAAAACTATAAATATATGAAGATATAAGAGATGTTTACATAATATTCTTAACATGATAATGATAACAGCTGTTACCAAAGTTTTAACTAACAAAGTTACATAAATTGAAACAAACAGTCACAAATGTTCAATATTTGTTTCGACGCCAACTATTTAACGCTAATTTCACTATTTTGTACCAAAGTTCACATTTGACTGTGCTAGACTTCCCAAGATGGGTTGGCGTTGAATTACCTCGCGATATGAATTCGTTACCAAGCTATGACTAGGTGCGTTCAAGACATATCCAATAATTTGTCTAGCTTGGAGGTAAATAGTTTCCTTATACGTAGACATGAATAAATAAGTGCTTTTTTGTTTCTTATCTAGGGAAATCAAGTGTCAACTTTGGTACCTACATTGAAGTGAATTTAATAGTTAGCATGGAAATAAAATTTTGAACAACAATACTTTATTGCTGTAAAAATGTTATACTGGATAAAATAAAGATAGAATATACATTCATAGATCACTTATTATTGGAATGTAAGATAATAATTTGATAACTTATCTTTGTTAATAAATGTTATATGAAATTACAGTTACATTAGTAAAGATTATAAAGTAACTCCATAAAAATTCACATCTTTTCTTGCAGCTATTTGATATAGCTGCAAGAAAAGATGTGAATTTTTATTGAGTTATTGTTACATGTGTGTTGTTGGTGTGTTATTGTTACATGAGTTTCAATAGGAATATACAGGTTTTCATACATAATATTATAGCATAGTGATTAATGCATTTCTTGTTGTAAATTACGAAAATTATTTCAAAAGAAATTTCCAAACCAAACATCAGTTGTCTATTCTAATCACTAACTTGTTACTAAAACCTACCTCAGCCTTACAAAACCACAAGCACCCAAGTACAAATAACCCTAAGATAAACATATGATATAAGAAATAGCTAATAAGTATTAAGACACCTATTTATAAATAATATTTATATTTGAATAATTAAAAACAATTGATATTAAGAATTATTCAATGAAAAAGGATTCATTGAAAAATTTGGCACAGATGTGATTTTATAAATGTGACATGAAGAATATTTCAGTATTTTATTGTTAGTTTAGAGGCTCAAATGCTTTGACCATGAAATACAGCTTGTAATTAGGTCTTTAGCCAGATATATATTTTGCTTAAAATGACCAATCTGTAGGTGCTTGGCTGATACCCATAATGATGATATTGCTGAATTGCCAGAAGCCAGAACTCTTTAGGCTATACAGTAAACAAAATACACACAAAACAACCGAAGAAATAAGAGATTTCTATGACAAACTGCTAATTAGAATTCATTACATAAAAACAAGGATGTGTCATTATAGTGTAAACATGAAGTGTCAATAACTCAGTTACATTGGAGGCTAATATTTGAACAAAACTTAAGTGAGGTCAGTGTGACATCATACATAACTACAAGAAAACATTAGTATTAACAACAAATATCCCTTCAATCATGGTAATTTGAGCCAGAAAAGAAGAACACCGGCAGTTGCTTAGGGTTTGATGAAATATGAAAGCTATTGTAACATTAACAAAGCAGCTGTTAATGGTGACTTGATTTTTAAGTGAAAATTATTATCCTAATACAGAGCAAATAATTTACAAAACTGATTGAGAATAATATCAATGTTTCCTAAATGTATTATCTTTAGTTTATATGTGTATGTCTTTATGTATGTGAGTTCAATGCAAATATCTTTTTAGTCAAACAATCTTTAGTGAATGTGGTTGTCACAGTTAAATATCATGTTTCTTTACCTAGACAAAGATTACGAGATTATGACTGTTTCTTAATCCCTGCAGATGGTTTTCTTCAGTTTTGTGTTGTACAAATTGCCTGCATATGACACAGTTGAATTAAACTGCCTTAGAGGTGGCCGGTGACCAATGGTACCAGAGGATTTGCCTTCATTTGTTATATGTTGGCAGTCAAAAACTTAAATTAAATAGAACTGCTACACTATGTAATGGATTGTCATTCAGCAGTGGTGTTCTTTTAGCTGATGATGACAATGTTAATTCATTCAGAGACAAAATCATCTGTTTTAACCCTAGGTGTTCAAAACTTAATACTAATATAGCATGTGTGAGAATTATTAAGAATAAAATGTAAATAAGAGAAAACTTTCCACCTCAGAGACTTGCAATATACAATACTTTTTTTATAAATTTGTGTTACTAACTTACCCTTTAAATAAATATTATTTACTGTAGTTTGCACATTTACATTATGTACAAAGAAGTGAAAATGTTAGTATAGAGAACAATCACTTAATTTAAAAATGCTGCATGATATAGGAACAATCTAAATTTACTGTATGTTAAAGTAATTTGGGGTTAATAAATTCAATAAGTATTGTAATCATGTGACCGAAAACTTGTCCTTTGCATAAATTGGTTGAACAAGAGTGTTAAAATTTAAAGAAATATTGAATATAGTATTAAACTTGCAAACATACATTCAAATATGTAGGTAATGTTTTCTTTATCAATTCGTATTCTCCATTACACTATAAAATTTTACTATATTTATGAAGCCCACATGTAAAAGTAGATGTCTTGCCAGTGACTCAGGTATTGAATGATTGGGCCACATATGAAGGACATAGCTGGTATCTTCGCTGACATAGAATTCAAACCATTTTCTATAACATTCTTTGAGTAACCATTATACATAGGACTCCTCAAAAGGTACAACACTAAGCCTAACTTTCTACGACTTATTTCCAGTCGCTGCTCATGTGAAAAGTCTTTCATGTATTTACTGTACAGTTTTAGGCTCACCATGTCCAAGCAGAGAGCAACGACCCACTGCTTCCATGCTTTAGTTCCAAATGCTTTCATAGATGCTAAATGAATTAAAGGCTTCATTATATGTAATGACTCAGCATAAATGAGGTCTGTTATGTTAGCAGCTGCACCCGGTCGGTCATCTTTAATTTTCACAGGCTCCCAGTCACGGAAGGCTACTGATGGCGCTCCATCAATGCGTCGCACAAGGCGCCCTGATCGCCGAAGAGCGAAAAATGAATTAGAGTTCTCATCAGCCTCATTACCTTCAGTAAACTTCTTTCTCTGTAGTACAGCTACTGGTGGGTGTGCTATTGGCAGTTCCTTGAACCTGAACAGTAGCACTAAAGCTGAAGAACATTTGAACACTTGAAGTAATGTGGCTACAGTCCACTTGCCTTTTGTGCCCCATCTATGTTTAACTAAAAGCTCGATAAATACTTCACAGTAGTGAATTATTGTCAGCCATAGCTTGATCTGCTCCCGAAGACCGTAATATGGTTCCTCAGTTCCATAGGCTTCTCTAATGAGTCTGTCGTTGAACAGCGAAACGAGTTTAGAGAGTGAGTATACCAACTCTGATACTATGGGCGACTTGTTTATCTTTCCAGCCACGAAGTAAGAAGACCACGTCGCTACTGTCTCTACGTCCGTCACAAGGCCGGGATTATTTATCACCCAGCGCTTGTAAATCGCGTACAATTCTTGTAAAGACAGGGGTTTACTCATTTCGATAGCAGGAAGTTTACTTCGTATCGGAAAATTAACAGTAATGCAATCGATTCAGCGATTAGACTTACTGCAGAATGAATTATTTGGATAACACCATCAGTTATGTTATTTTTAGGAGAGTAAAACTGAACTGAATTAAATTAATTAAAAACCTTCACTTTATAATACCACACTGCAGCAAACTGTTTGACTTTTGCCCCCAGTCGTCGTTTCCCTGCCTTTGTTGACAATGACATTTCAACATTTGACAACATGGCGTCACCGATTGTCTTTCCCATTGACATTGTCTAGCAAGTTTTAAAACGAATTGAAAATGAATATTTCATACATATGTTTCAAGTAAAAATATCGTAATACAGTATTTTTTTAGTGACAAACCATGAACCATCAGTTTTGGAATTGTATTGTACTCCAGTTTCAATAAGTAATTAATTTGTCTGGACTGTTTCATACAAACCAAATGTACTGTAACCTGAATGCATTTCTCAACGTACACTACAAAATATAGATTATCTGTGAGGCTACAGGGATGAAAAATTCAGTCTATGGACATCAGCCAGTCTATGGTGCACGCCTTGGAAGTGAAGGTAAGTCTAGCTCTTGTTTTGATTATTTCAATTTCAAAAAAGGACTTTTATTTTGATTATACAAGTGAGATATCAACATTATTGCGTGTTTAGGTATAAACTTGGATCTAACGGTTGGCAAAATGGACGGAGGTCCTCCAGATCATGATCCAGATCCAGCGGAGATATTGGAGGGTAGGCTTCAGGGCTTTTTCCCAGCCTTGGATGAAGAAGAAGATAAGAAGAAGTCACTATGGATGGGTGGAGTGCTGGACTGCTTCACTACCGTGTTCTCCTTATTTACTCAAAGTGACCAAAAGCCTCAAGGTTAGTGATTTTTTTGTTTGTTTTGTAATGTTTGGACCCTATGCATTTCGTTCCTAAAATAGATTAAGCTGCTAGCGCTAAGTTGTGAAGATCAGGATGTTTCTAGATTAATTGATGTGTGAAGCGCAGTTCATGTATTGCGTAGTTTGTTATGTGGGCGGGAGGGAGTGTGAGGTTTGAAGGTCGGGAGCGCGGTGCATCAATGTAGCGAGCTTATACTGCGCGGGATCTGTCCTTGACCTATTAAATCTTTACCTGGAACTGTACTTGTTGATCTGTCACCTATTCGTAATTCAGTCTCCCTTTCTTGACCACTGGCAATTTGGGAACATACAATTAAAGGGGGTATATGAACAGAAGTTATGATAATAGTTAATAATGTGTTACTGAATACACACTTGAAGGTGTGTTCATAAGGTAAAGATATCGGATTATACTTATTTGTTCAAAATTCTATCGGTTCGGAAACATTGAAGTTCATTATCTGGAGGATGCTAGAGGTAAGTGAAATTTGGTTACTATTTTCCATTACAGATCATAAATATCATAAATATTGTTGATATTTTCGTAAAGTAGGTGTGCCAATGTGGGTACAACTAAACTAAACATTTTATTTACAGAATCAACATCAATGGCACGCAATATTTTAGCAGTACATTAGAACCGCTAGTTGTTGTTGTTGGCCGCATTAGTGCAGCTAGAGTGCTGATAGCCTAGTCTAGCTGCGGATATTGACAACGGACTAGAGTATGTAGCCATCACCAGTACCTAGCTATGCAACCGATGAAGATGAAGGAGATGATGATGTTTCGAGTAATGCTCGGGTTTCCGGAGAGTGAGCAAGGGTAGCTCATGCTGCATAGAGCTTACCTCAAATCCCGTTAGACCACCACAGATAGGACAAACAGGGACGATTTTCAAAAACTGATACAAAAAATAATTTGCACAACTTCTTTACACATCTGCGGAGCTGAAAATACTGATGTTTTCAAGTTGTCACAAAATAACTTGTAAACATGCATACTGATCATTGGATGAGGCATGGATGGAGTGGATGAACTAGACTAATTGTCTAGCGTCTTATTTATGCTGTCTGCTGAGGTGATGGACATTCTCAAACTATCAAGCCTAAGATGTGCGGCTCATCCTTCATCATCCATTTCATGGTGTTGATCATGTCCCCGATAAACTTTGAAACGAGTTTGATATGCAGTGTGCCATATCAGAGGTCACTGGGGTTGCAATAAGTGCAAGAAAAACCTATACATTATTTATTTTTTATTCAAAATAGTATCACCCAAAAAAACAAAATTATTTTTAGGTTATTATTATTTGAATTAATAAAAGAATTTTAAAAATATGGTCTGTAGTTTTTATTTTGCCCCTAATGCGTTAAATACCGTACTTTAGTAAATACATTATTTTAACTCCTTTATTTCAAAATAAAGATAATTTTACGAAAGGAAAAGACACTCACAATGTAAAAAAATACCCAAAATAAAACAGACTGTACCTACCACAATCTAGAATTAAAATGCTTTACCTTAATTCGTACTACATGGCAGTCAAATTATTGAATACATTATTTAAAGACATTCAAAACGAAACGAGGGAAATAAATATAATAAAATTAAAGTTAATAATACCTAATACTTACAAAAATGTTTATACTTAATAAAAGAATTCTTCAAACCAAAAATAGAACACCAACATTAATGTTTAAACCCACCTCATTATACTACTCATTATACCTCTTACACCCACAAGCAACCTACTAAATATTACCTACGAAATATTACATTTTAAGAATACCCACTTAAAAAATTCACACTCGCTACCCTACATAACATGATAAATACTTATAAGTACCTACTTAACAAGAAATACCAATAAACATTGAAAAACATAGTCGTTTGTTGACAATGTAATTTATTTTAAGTATTTTGTAATATAATTTACTGATATTCCATAAGTTGGTCCCATTATTTTATAAGCTAGTGATAACCCTCAAATTTGCAACGCCTGAAAACGCCATTAAGCTGTGCCTGTTATTTTAAATTAAAGATTCTTGTACCTTAACACATCCAGTGCCCCCGACGCGTATGTGCGTTTCCTTACGCTACTCTGTGTGCCCTTGACGCACCTGTGCGTTCAATACATTAATGTACTGCACTGAATGTGTTAACATGCAAATAAAGAATTTGAATTTGAATAGAAGCTGAGTGAGTTAAGGAGGTTGCATTTTGTCAATTGGACTACTTATTCTTTATTTACTATACTGTTTGGATTAATTTATAATTTCTTGCTTATGTAAAGCTTAGCGATTTCTTTGTTATTATTATTTTTGTTTTTTTTTTTTAGGTTGTTGTCTTGTTTTGCATTGCTGTTATATGCATTAATATTGGTATTGGCTATAGGCAAAGGCTTGCTATCTGATTGTAACATCAAAATAAAATCGTATTTGACATTCTTCTACACCGCCACTGCCCATACATATTGCTTCAATCTGAGGTCCCCAGGGGGTTATCTCTAAGATAGGTGGGATTTAAAATAATTCTCTTGCGCCTTATTGTTAGCAAAGCACCTGAAGGGCCCAATACAACCAAAGTGACCAAACCAGGTGGGATCCAATAGGTCTGACTCAGATAGGGACTTAAAGGGCCGACGATCAGCCTTGAAGGGATTGCAAATGTAACAGTGTACAGCGGCACCGGCCCGGTGATGTTGAAAGGTCAGATCTTAGTCAATAAAGCCCCACCCAAAGCAGATACATTTCCACTTCAAAAAAGCATCTGACAAGGCAATTTATGCCTCTAGAATCTTGACTATACAATAGATAAAGGAATGTTAGTGCTGCACAGGAATGTCAATGTAAGAAAAGCTTTTTTATTATATGGATGTAAAATTACATTCTAATTGATGATTGTACAACATGATGCGAACCCTAATATTGGTAATTGGATACTAGACTTCATTGCCACAAACTGACTCTAAGGCGGCTGGCTTGTCTTAAAAATAGTCTAAGGAGTGTAAGAAAACAATAATTAAAACATATTACTACCACAAATAAATCAATCTAAGTTAAATAAATGAACACAACATAACAACAAAAATTGTAAGAAGTCGCAAGTTCATACATTGAGTGGACAAACTATTTGTTTTTTGACGGTAATTTAATTCCTATTTATTATATTTTATAACTAGCTTTTAGCCGTGGCTTCGCTCCCGTCATTCGACTACATACAATAGCCTGCCTATTTACCTATAGCTACACTACCTGCCCTATCCTACCTACTCTCTCCTACCTACCCTATTATACCCGCCCTTACCTATCCTACCTATCCTACCCTACCTTACCTTACCAATCTTTCCTTTTTTTTGTTAGGGGAAAATCATCAAATGACTTCTCCCGCCAAGGGTGAGGCGGAGGGAGTATGAGACTTACTGACTTAAAACCCCCCGTTCCTTCTGCTGTTCTAAGCCGGGGTCGCAGTGACGCTTTGCGCTTACTCCGTAACTCCGGCTGAACATCAGCCCTAAAGGCCTCGTCCTCCCCTACCTACCCTACCTATACCCTACCTACCCTACCCTAACCTACCCTACGGTTTTACGTTCAACTAAATTCGACCTACTTTTATCTTTATATATAAAAATTTCGTGTCACGTGTTTGTCCGCGATGGACTCCTATACTACTAAACCGATTTAAAATTTGATTTGCATTCCGTGTGCTTTTGATCCAACTTGATAGATAGGATAGCTTACTTCTCAATTTAAACTCACATTATTATTTTGACAAGAAACTTAGCCACAGCAACGCGTGGCTGAGTCTGCTAATATTATATAGAAAAAACAAAAAGGCACAATATCTTATTCAAGGTGCACAGACTCAATCTAAATAATGATTCTATTTCTAAAGTGTGTTTTAACTGCTTACTTGGCAACATTCCTTATTTAGAAAAGGTTCAGTCAGAGCTTCTCTGAATTTGGTATTAGCTTATACAAGCCGTGAAAACATACAACGAAAATTATGTAACAAAATAAAATGAGATGTTAAAACAACAATAATTGTTACCCAAATTAACCTATTTAACACGCATTCTGTTTGTTGAATTGTTTCGTGAAACAAAAAGAAATTCTATTAAGAGATGTCGTAAAAATAGTAGGTATTGTTGTACATCGGTAATCTAGTAAAACATACAAATATTTCGATATATCGTTTCATTGGATTTATAAGTGTGGAAGAGCTAAGCTACGGCACAAATGGATGGGCTCGACCGCAGTGATACCACAGCCTCACAGAAAACCGGCGTGTAACAACCACACCGTTGTGTTTCGCTGTGTGAGTGAGATTCTCGGAGGCCCAATCCTTCTCCTCTTCCAATCCTAAAATCTTCAAATCCCTAATCCCCAAAATATCTGACGAATCCATGGACGATGATTGCTCACCCTCCGGTAATCAGACAGCTCGTTTGCCGAACGATCATTAAAAAAAAAACACCTGGATCTGTATCTATACAAATCGAATAGACGGATAATCGTAGAAAACGTGAGTAGTATCAGGAGGTCAGATTGTTCAATTATAACGATGAAATAATTCCATTGAAACATGTTTACTTGCAGTTCTTTGTTATCCGAAAATACTTTTGAGCATCGAGTTATGTCGTCGACATATACGATTGGCAATTTAATACAACTATTGTCATATGAGCATGTTACGCATTGTTACATTCCATATGCTGCAAAGGTATGCAATAATTAAGCAAATGTAAGCTCTACAGTATCAAGATAACTTTTTTAATTTTAACAATATGCTGAACGTTTTGAAGCGAGCTATTATTGCAATGGTATTTAATCCAAGGCTATGTAATGTCGTTTGTGCTTCATTATCTCTCATGAATGGATCCGTACCAGTTTCACTTTTTATTAGTAATTAGAATAATGCTTTTTCAAATTCTCTATATCACGGGTTTTTTTTGGTTAATATGTCAATTAAAGACACTTTCATTATAAATTTACATGAGACATAGTGTCGGAAATCCACAATATAAATATATGAGAGTGTCTCATAACTTGTGTAACCCTTTTGAGGATTAAAAGGTGTGATGTTAAGCTTGTAGGAGTGTCTTTTTATTGTTATTACAATTATTCTGAAAATTTTGATGATTGCGAATCAATATGTCCGCCTTTTTCGAGGACCATATTTATTATTGTAGTACAAACGTCATAGATCAGAAGTTTTATTAAAGTACACACGTCAAACGTCCAGTCACCCTGAAGAAACGAGCGCGACCCTTGACTTGATTTGACTGGCTGTAAACATTGTGCCTTTGTGCGCTAATACTCGAATGTGACGTCAGAGCCTGACTCAATGGGAATCCGTAGCGCTATCGATCGGTTTTTCATTGACGAAACCAACGGAATTCGGCCCGTAATAAGTCTTGTTTCTAGTTATACATATGCGTAACAAATAACGGTTTACTGTTTCTTGCGCAATGTGCCGCATGTTCGATTCCCGCGTGGAGCAACTATATCTTTTTTATGAATGATTTTGGTTCTTGGCGCCATATGTATATGCGAAATTTGAGTTTTCTATTGTTAATGTTTTCTTTAAAATACAAAATAAGTACTATATAAGTAACTAAGTACTTACTATTCCTTGTCTTTGTCTATAGAAGAAGAATGGGACATACCCTACGAGAAGTTGTCGGGGCTGGTGTACTTAGGCGCTGGAGCCCAAGGCACCGTGTTCGGCGGCCAATATCGCGGCGAACTGGTGGCAGTCAAACAGCTTCGCGACAAAAATGATTGCAACATTAAACACCTTCGCAAGCTGAACCACGAAAATATCGGTAAGTCCTTTATTTTTTTTGTAGAAGACTAACGAATTGATTTAATTTGCTGATGGTTAGCAAACGCCACCACCTATGACAATGATACAGTCGTAGCACCAGTAGCGAAACTAATGGGGGCAAATTCGTGGCGAAATATGGCTCCGAAATGGCGTGAAGAAGTTACGCATTAGTAGCCGCTTTGAAAGCAGCCATCTGATTTTCTATAAGTATATTTATAATTATACTTATAGCAAATGAGGCGTCCAGATTTAATTACATTAGATAATATTGTCCTTTCTTTTATCAAAGAGTTATTTATAGGGAGAATTTCGTTTATTGGACTATTGTTACTAACTTGTAGTTAAGTAAACAGTTTTTCACGAACTCAAAATGTAGTGATGTGAATTCGAAGTGTCATTTAAAAAGCGTTGTATCGGATCATTGATTGAAACCGAATTTTATTAGTTCCAAATTGATTTACTATGGAATTAATTTTATCATATTACCATACTCATTATGTTTGAAACGGTAACTGCATGGTGTCCGTGTCAACCACATTGTGACGGCTGTTACAACTAAAAATTCTGTTTGTGTATTTAAATGCAAATAAAGGTTTCTACTACTCGAAAAATAATTTCAATGACGTCACCGTTCGGTTTTTGGTAAATTGTACCAGTGGAATGCGTATTTGCACCCAATAATAACTTTCGCAGCTTTATTATGATGGTCTCAAAAAAAAAAAAAATTATAACAAATATTACTAATTTTGTCGTCAAGTGGTAAGTACAATTTTTATTTTTTATGTTTATTTCAAATCCTTATTTGTTTAAAGTACGCTACCAAGCGGGCAAATTATTCGAATCAAAACGCAGATGAGTGAAGGAAACAAAAATATTACGTTTTTGATTTCCATTTCGGGTTAAGTAATGCCAAAACTGCATCGGTAAAAACTTCCAAGCAAATACAGACAATAAGGTCGAAATTTGAAAGTTTTCTTCATAAATGGACGTTAGAAGAAGAAGAATTATTCTCTAAGCGTATAATCCATTCAAGTTACTGGAAGTTGGCGTGCATAAGGCTATAATACAAAATAGTGCTGGCAGATACAAGCTTGTTGATGCATTGGTGCATGAGGCTAGTGTCTGTGCGGCTAGTCTCACTCCCAACTAGACATGATGTTAAAAGAACATTCATATGCAAATCTTTGCATAATACAATTTGAAAATAGGTTAGATTTGGTGAAGCTGCAAATGGTAATAGAAGATCTGGCCGCCATGTTAGCTTGAAGACAGAAGATTTGAACATCCATCTAAAGATTAATTTTTACTTTACAAATATATTAATATTTAAACTTTAAATTATTTTTTATATGTTAAATTCGGGAAATAAAAATGTTTTCAAATTAAATGGTATTTTATTTAATGGTTTACTATTTAATAAATGCTTTGTATATTATGATCCCTGTGTTTTATTTCTCATGTTTTACAAATAAGACTGTGTGTATGTGTGATTTATATGTCAAGTATTTTTTTAAAATATATACTAAATAAAATAAATACAAATATAAAGTATTATGAGTACTATATATTTAGGTACACTCGGCGTGGGGTCCAACAAATCAAAGAAAATCTGTCCAGTCGTTTTAGAACTACGAATGGTGTAACTAAACTCGATGTTTTTGTAGTATGTTGGCTAGATTTGTAGACCCGTAACACAATCAGCCCCGATTTCCCGTCTGGTCCAACTACAAGATTAGGTATAGGATTTGCGTTCAAACTCGCCGTCTGTTAACGCGTCAATGGGTCTACGCCGGAGGTTGTGCTACGCGGCGCGTAGTATGTGCTACGATGGCTACGGCGTAGACCGTGCTACGCGGTGTACATTTCAGTTGTGCAAGGCTCTTGTGGTATGCACTACTAAATCTGCCCGCTGAAAATGCAGAGTACATTTGATCTTGACGTGTGCTGTCTACGTTTCAGATGTGTCGTTTATATACAGTTGGCCTATCTATCCTTCGCAGGTTTAGTAGACACTTGTTTTGTTGTGAGGTTTTGAATGTATTCATAAGATACTTTACCCGTAATTCTTGCTAAATCATATTAATACTGCCAATATTTATTGACAAGCTTTCTGCAAAAAAGTCCAGTTGCTCCATGTGACTTACTTCCGTTCCCAATAAATTATGAGGAAAAGGGTTTTATAAAGAATTAACTATAGGAAAAGGCACAATTAAGGATTCTAATTTCACATTTATATTACGAGTAATTACTAGTGGATCCTACTTCGTTCGGTACCTCGGCGTTAGTCATTTGTTTTGATTGCCATCTGCTACGGCATAGAAAATTTGGAAGGTTTTCTGTATCTTGATGATAATCTCTACCTTTTTAAAATTTATATATCTTAAAAAAGATTTTAAAATTTCCTCCCGTCTTTAACAACCCACAAAAGAAGAATTTCCAAAATTCGTCCCGGCCTTGTTGACTTTTGCGTTCTGTCTTCATGATATTCAACAAAGCGGTGTAAAACGTTATTTAGTTCCGAATGTATTTGAAGACTGTCCTGGAAGACAGCACTGTGTTATCAATGATGTTGACCATACATTGTTCCTTTTTCATGTTCGCTATAGGTAGTCGTAATTCTTATGTTTTAAGTCCGTTGGGTAGAAACCAGGCCTCATTAGAAACTGGCGCGAATTAACCAGTTTTATTGCTCGCAATGTTAGTCAGGTTAACGGAGGCCCATTCCTCAGCTTCCCACTATTTGGCAACGAACTCATAACTCCTGGTGAAGCATGTGCCCATGGCAAAAAAAGATCTTGTTTTATTCAAATATTTTAGTTTAGTAAAGTGCGATGTGTAATGTGTGAAAATAGATATAAACATTAATTTCATTTTGATTGGTGATATCAAGCTTATGAATCTTATGAGACCAGGTATCCTCACGAAGTCTTTCTTCGCCGTATGCCAATATCAATCATCCTCATCCTCTTGGATGCGAGGCGGGCGTCGTAACCTGAAAAGACACAACGCAATTTTGTGATATCCCGCCACAATGCTGTCAATAAAAGTGACTGACATTAAAATATAAAACAGAACTTTAAAGAACACCATAATGATGAGGTAGTCATTGAAGGTCAGCTTCAATAATTTATAAACCTTGGCCTTACACGAAGGTTCTAATATTCAAAAAGCTATCAATAACAAAGGTTGGTGCAGCGGACTGTTTCAAGGCGCACCATACATCTATATTACATTATGTGTAAGATTACAGGTTCGTCGTGGTGGCTAGAAATAGTGTTCAATTTGAAAACCTGTCGAGTACCGATGTAACTATTTCTGAATTATTAGAACTTCTAAGACTATCTAGATACCACTGACATACGGTGAAGAAAACTAAGTTTATAATTCCTTCTTATAAGTAAATTAACTTAAAACATAAAGCATAAAAGACTACTTTATTGTTCAATTGTTGCGCAATATAATTGATCACCTAATAGCCGTGTAAGCCTTCGTCAGACGATACATTTTCCTCCATTTTGTATCGCTTCGTCGCAAAAAGACATCGTTCTCAAAGATATCTGTCGTTGAAGTTTGTGGACTTCGCAGACAAAAGTCACTCGTCTGTACCACCCTTGAGGTTACCTCCAACCAAGATTGTATGGTACAGCAAAGAAATTGAAAATCGCTACCTCATTTTAAATTTATTTTGAAGCAATTCTTGTCTTTATTTTTCGTCGAAATATGATTAGCTTGTTTGATATTTATGAACGATTCTTCTTTAGATTCCATTATGTTGTAGTCATGTGTTGTAGGGATTTACCAGTTTGTAATTTTAGCCTATGAATGATAGTAATTAAACTTTATGTTAGGTACTTATCACTAAACTTCTACTACTTATCAAAAATCTACAAATACCCCTGAAAGTTAAAGAAAACATCACAACTCAAAGATACTAGTTTCTATTGTTTCTATTAGCAAATTAAACAAAGGAATGATTACAAAACAACGTACACCCCAACATTGTCCTAGTTAGAGATGGCACTGAATGAATGAATGAATGAACGTGAACCTCTTAAGATTCCTAGAGGCGCACGGCTCGACATTGACCGATTTACCTACATTACGGGTCAGTGGCGGGGTTTCGCACAGAATATTATTATTTTCACAGACGGATCTGGACCCAAATATTCTAATTTTGGTTTGTGGAGAGAATAAGATTTTTATAGAATATTTGTACGGTACCTATTGCCTGGTGGAAGTTAGTGCGGTGCGCGTGCGCTTATGTTGCGTTATGCAGCAAGATACAGATGCAGTATTTTGCGATGAAGTACTAGTATTTGTAAGGCTCTCAAGCGATTTTTGTTACTTCAATGTTTAATTTTTACAGCTATGGTAATCAAAAGTACTGGGTACATTAGCCGCAGTATATGTAATTCCATATTTGAAATAAAACAAATTTTAATTCTGGCTAATGTTGTACACAGACCAACATACAACAGGTGGCAGGCCAATGTACGAACTTGCAGCGGCAAGACCGGTGCACGTACCGGCATTGACCTATTAACATAGTTCTGGATTCCCAGGGGTCGCGCCATTGAAACATACAGCGCTGAGTTCTACGACCTCGATAATGTACCAAGAAGTATTTTTCAAGAATGAGAACTCTGGATATATTTTGAATTTGTAAAGTAGATAAATTTTAAAAGACATTCTTAATACATCAAACCGTATGGAAATTTGTGTTTCTAAATGTCCATAATATTGACTTATGCGCAAGCGCATCGACGCAATAAGCTGCGCAGATGTTTAAGTTAGTGCAGTTAAGGTCCGAGCACGAGGCAGTGCAGTGGTTTAGAGCTAAAAATATGAGGATTTGTTACTATTATTGTATTTTTACCCAAAATAAATAGCACAACAACTAACTATATGTGATAAAAAGCAAGTAAGACAAATGTTTAAAACGAATGATTAAGTAATATGTTGTTTATTTTTATTTTTTCCCAACTTTTGCCGAGCTTA